GAAGAATTGGGTTATTTTGTAGAAATAACTAACGAGTCATAGGTAGTAGAAAAAGCAGTGTTTTTAATTCACTATTTTCACTGAAGTAAATACATAGTGGTTGATTCCATTTAGATATAATAATTTTCTTATCTTCACTAAACAGTTTTAAATATTTATATATTTGGTCTCACGTAGACTCCATCTTGGGTTTTGATGCGCACTGAGCGAAATTTGCCATCCTTTCCAGGGATTAACTCCAATATCCTTGCCAAGAGCCACTTTATTGGAGGGGTGTCATCTTCCCTTAACAATACTAAATCACTGATTTTGAATTCAGGTGTAGGCTCCATCCATTTGGGCCTGTTCTGTAACCTGTTAAGGTAATCGACTTTCCATCGGTTCCAAAACTGTTGTTGTAACTTTGAGCATTGTTGCCAAAATTTAAGGCGATTGGAAGGAATCTCGGCGAGATTTTTTTCTGGAAAGGACATCAAAGGCGCGCCTATAAGAAAATGTCCTGGTGTTTTCCACTTGATGAGAAAAACGCCAGTTAGCGATTTATTGAACAGAAGCCATAGAGGTCTTGCCATAGCAAAGGCACACTGCTTTAAAAACTGATTTGTAATCTGATCTGGTCCGGGGCTCTTTCCAGTATTAAGTGAATTTAAACAACCTAACACATCGGTTATATTTATAGTAAAATTATTAACATTAACAAAATCATTATCAGCACATTTAAAATTGTCAGTGTCATTCTGATCAAAACTGTAAACTAAACAAAAATATTTAGCAAAAGCGTCTGCAGTTGACTGATTTTCAGTAAAAACTTTATCTTTTAATCTTATTGTATTAGGCATATCACAATTATGACGTTTAGAGTTCACAAACTTCCAAAATGGTTTGGAGCTAAAATTAATCAACATTTCGGTATCCTGAACATATGGTTGATAACATTCTTTTGACAATAATTTACAGCGCGATGTTAAATTTTTATACTCATTATAATGGTGATTAGAATTGTTTTTTCTATATCTCAAATGAGCTGCTTTTTTTCCAATATCAAGCTTTTATTTCAGTTGTAAACCAAATGAGAAATTTGTTATTGTAAATAATTTTTTTCTTAGATACAAATAATTTTAAGTTACTACAAACAATGTCATAGAAAATGGATACACAACTATTCATCATTGTGAATAAAATACTGATCCCAGTTAATATTAATAAAAACATTATTTAGGCTTTTATAGTCGGCCAAGTTAAAATCATAAACATTCTCATTCACATTACCACCTTCATTAAAGTTTAAAGACAAAGACAACTCAAGAGGTGGATGGTGTAAACTAGGTTTCAATAGAAAATAATCAGATAGAGACACACAATATCTAAGTACATTACTAAAAACTAAATCTAAAACTCTGTTGTTACCATTGTGGATTTCATTTAAGTGATACATGTTGCTGAGTGCTAAGTACTCAATTAACGCTTATGCTCTTGGACCTCCATTACTGGCTATAACACCATCAATTTATTTTAGCCAAATGACTTCCGGAAGATTGTAATCGCCGACAAAATATATATTCTTGTCATCATAACTTTCACAAATATGTTCAACAGTTTGACCATGATAGTCATACATATCCACAGGGAAAGAAGGTGGGATATACACGGCACAAATGCAACATTCATTTTGAATCGAGACACAAATTTGTTCACAATAAACTGCACTAATAGGGAGTTTCAACTTCACAGAATCGATGTTATTTTTAACGGCAATTAAAGATTCCTCTTCCTCTAGATTTACCTGTTACTTTTGTATCGCGATCGCATCTGTATAAAGAGTAGCCGGCAAATCCCAACTCTGCGTCCTCAATGCCAATACACAACCAAGTTTCAACCAAGACAATGACATCGAAATCACAAGTAGACAGAGCAGTAACAAATACCTTGGATCTAGTTCTCATACCATCAACATGTTGATAATACAGGGACAATTGATTTAATCTAAAAAATGTGTATTCTTATGGTTAGATGCATATCTAGGAGCACGTGGTAAAAATTCTCTCACTGTAGCTTGACAGGGCCATACATTAGGATGCAGCGGTGCATCAAACAGATATTGTCGTACACTCACTTTAAATGAACAATAATAGTCATAAGAAGTTAAAGTTTTGACTGCTAGCTATTTTCGATCAAAGTTCTCTGGTCAATCGGGGATTATTTTTTCTAAGTTGCATAGTTGATTCTATCAAAGCCAGACACAGCTCCTCTAAAAAAATTCAACGTTTTTTTAAATTGTCATCAGTGTTAGCCCTGTAAATAACTTGACTATTAATTCCTGCTGTATCCTTTAGAGAAAAAATATTCTCAATGGCCATCTGCTGCAATTCTGAGAGACACTGTAACTTTCTGACAATTCATTGACGACATTTGCGCCTCCCTTGGTAAAATTGTAAAAGATCACAATTTCTGGTAGGTTTTTATCCCCTGTCGGTTCATCAATCTTGTCATCATGATGAAGAGAAAAAAGTAAAATCACATTTTTACCCTTTTTCGGCACATATGATACCATTGTAATATGTTTCCGGAATCCAAACATTGAACTTTCAGATTGTCTCTGCTTTACTTCTAACAGCGTTATCGGTATCTCTCGTTTGTTTTTCCTAAGGGTACCTATAGGCGATAAATTATGATTTTCACGTAAAGTACTTACAAGTTCATAGGAAGTGTACCAGTTGTCGAAGGTGATGTTTCGATTACTACCAGAAATCGGTGCTACCAATCTTTGCACAATATAAACAGGTTTGTTACTTAATTGATAAACCCCAAGTGGCTGAGTTCCTGCATAAACTTCCATCTTAAGCACATAAAATGTACGAGGAGAATCCACCATTTTCTGGATTTTTATTCCATATTTAGCTGGATTATTAGGAATATATTGGCGGAAGCAGCAGCGACCTCGAAAAGACTAAGTTTTCATCGATTGTTAAATACTGGCCTGGAATGTATGTTTGTTAAAAGTTTAAAACAAACTTCTCAAACACACCTCGGATAGCTGCAAGTTTATCTATTTTCAAGCGTTCTTGTCGATTGTTGACGTTGTCAAAGCGTAAACACTAAAGCAAACTCT